TACACCGGCACCTGACTGCTTAAGGTGGTCCTCATCTCGTGCGTTGTGCATTGGCCTAAGGTGTAGGCAAATATTTCTCAGAGTTCTAGCAGCACCTCCTGTAGAGCCTTCGCAGCCTATACCCCATCCCTTTTCCCATGGGCCAATCGTCCTCTGGCCCTCACTCTGTCTTGGACTCCTGTTCTCCTGGATCACCCGCCTCCGCTGTTGGCTGAGTTGCCCCCTGCTCTACTCACGTCTCTCCCTCCACTGCCATAAATGCCCAGCCTTCTCTGATCCTCCCCTCATACTGATATTCTATCATCCCCAGTTCCAGCCTCCTTCTTTCTACTTCCCCTTCTTTTCGGTACCGCTCGCTGCAGTTACCTGCCATTCTATCTCCTTCCTCTTCTGGTGCATCCGGATCGTCTCTATTATCCAGGTCATTACACTAAGGTCCATGGCCCTCCCAAGGGCTGCCCTCCTCTGTGCCTCCATCACCTTAGGGCGTGTCGTCACTTCCCACCGCCTCTCTTTTATTTGCGGTGGGCTCTTCCCACCTGCCCTTCTTTACGTCATATATCATGACTGGGCCTGCAAGTTCTCCCTCCATTATGAACCCCCTATCCCCCGCGTAAGATACGAGCATTGGCAGCGCCTGCCGTGGCTTCCCTGGCTCATTACACTAGTACTGAGTCGGGTGGTTCCAGGTGGTTACAAGAGAAGGAAGGTGGTTAGGGCCCAATATATCATTGACCAGCCTTGGCTCGGGCCGCTGCATCTGAGCCTGGGAGCGCCGCAGGCATGCCACCAAGACCCCATTTCGCCAGTACCTCCTGGGTCTATGTGCTCTGGATCCCAGTTGAGCTGCGTTTGCTCCCACTATCCTCCCTATGGCTTGCTGAATCTCTGCAAATGCCTGCTTGACAGTCTCCCACCTGTCATCAGCCATATCCACATTCTCCAGCACATACAACATCTCGCCCTACTTCGTATGCAGCATCTCTAATATCCGCTTCAAGTCTCTGAACAAGGCTCCTCTGCTGTCATCCATTCCCCCTCCCTCTCCTGCACGAGAATAGCCTTGGCATTCCCAGGCAGCCACTATTAGGTCCACCTGCCTTCACTTATCTAGCTGCTCCTCCGTAATATACCGAACGTCATTCCCAGTCGCATCGTGTTCCGCTGGTATGGTAGTGGCAAGTATCTGCTAGGGATTATCTTCAAGCAACTCGAGCGCGCGATGCCTCGCCATGCGCCTGATGACTGGGTCCTTCTCTACATGGACCCACTTCCTCAAGTAGCACCCTGCTGCCAGTCTAGTGCTGATTCCTCCATAAAGCTCTAGTATGCACAAGGCGCCCTCGAGCGCCCATACTCGGATGACTCGCTCCTATGGGGTGGCTGGGTCTCCTCCAGCTTCCTTCCTTTCCGGCCATTTTTCGTGCTCCTCCACGTACCGCTCCAAGGTCCAATCATCTAAATCCTTCGTCAAGTTCTTCTTGTCAGCATTGTAGGCTTCCCTCGGCTCCTGCCTTGCAGGCTTCACCTGTAGTGTTCCCACCGAGCTCTCCGGGTCCCAATCTTGTACGCGGTACAGCACCTTCTCCTGCCATGTACGGATGGTAGCTCTTACCCGATACAGTAGCTCCAACCCGACCAGCACGTCATCGTCTTCTATATCTGACACCCCGCAATGTACCCTGATGCAGCACTCCTACTCTGTCCCTGGCAGCAGCACTACTTTCACTGGCCTCTGGGTCCTCGGTATCTATTTGGGCTGCCCTCCTTCGACGACCATTAGTAGAATACCTCATTCCACCAGCCTGGCAGGCAGATCCAGCTTCAGTTGCTTCGCAAGACCCTTGCCGACCAGCATGTTGTGGGCGCCGGTGTCTATTATGGCCTGCCTACTTCCCCGTTCCACTATGAATACTGACGCTTGGCAGACCATCCGCTCGTTAGGGTGCCGTGTCATCTCTGCTGGCGAGACGCTCTGCCCTTGAGTTGGCCTCCTCTCTCGCCCACGTTCTCCTCCATTCCCAATCGTGCGCTCTGGTCTCAACCGAAGGTCTATCTCGTCTCGGATCCTCTGGTCTCCCCTTCCTTTTTGGCTCGCTAGCGTGGGGTCGGTGATGGCGGCCGCCGCCACGCAGTTTTCACCTTCGACTTTATCTCCCGGTCTTCCGAGTCAAGCATGCACTGCACGTGTTCGGTCCGCATGGCGAGCTCGTATACCTCCTTCAGCGTTATGTCGGCGCCGATGCCATATACCATGTTCCGGAGGACGCCACGTAGGTCATCCTCCAGACCCTTTACGAACTTGTGAACCAACAGCCGCTTGTCTTTGTTTTCTAGATCCTCCTCTAAGTCCTTTGCGAACCAACTTGCTTCAACTGGCTGTAGTAAGCCAGTAGGGACTCATCCGCTTTCCTCTCAAACTCCCTGAATTCCTCCACCCCCACCTTTGTATGACCCACGAACTCCCTTCTTAGCAGCTGCAGGAAACACGGCGTGGGGTTCTCTATCTCCCCACATTTCAGCCTTTCTATCACTTCTTCTTGTACCATCCTGTAGAATGTCTCTGCCTCCTCCGCCAGCGTGCCCACCATTTTGCGGAAAATCTTCTGGGGATCATATCCGTCACGCTCCTAGCAGTAGCGTACGGTTTTGAGCTGCATAATATAGTTCTTCAGGCTTGGGCCCACTCCTGGTATTCCGGTGAATCGCTCAGCCACCTCCACCTTCGGCGGCGTGCTTAATGCGTTCCACCGGTTCCCTCTGATGTCTGGCCCCCATGCTTGGCTTTTTACGGCCACTTAGCCAAGAATTCTCAAAAGTCGCACCAATATAGCTGTGGCGGCGGGAGGGCTTTTTACGGCCACTTAGCCAAGCCAACACCGCTGCTTCCTTGGGCGTTACACTTACATTACATCCCTTCCATTCTTCTTTTCTCCCCCTCCCTCCCCCCCTCATTACGCTAGATCCTGGTCCGCTACAGGGGCGCGCTACCTGATCTATTCAGGGAGGGGGTTTCTGCAACCACTCAGCCAAGCCAACACCGCTGCTTCCTGCACTGTTACACCTCTTCCCATCTTCCTTTCTCCCCCCAACCCACCCCTCCCCCGTTACACCAGATTTTGGTCCGGTTCAGGGGTGCTCTGCCTGATCTGTTCAGGGAGGGCCATTCCGTGGTGGCAGAGGGCTTTTTGCGCCCCCTGAGCGAAGCCAACACCGCTGCCTTCACTGGGTGTTACATGCCTTCCTTTTTTCCTTTCTCCCCCCCATCCTCCCCATTTGACTCCAGATTTTGGTCCGGTTCAGGGGTGCTCTGCCTGATCTGTTCAGGGAGGGCCATTCAGTGGTGGCGGAGGGCTTCCTGCGGCCCCTGAGCCAAGCCAACACCGCTGCTTCCTCGGGTGTTACATGCCTTCCTTTTTTCCGTTCCCCCCCCCATCCTCCCCATTTGACTCCAGATTTTGGTCCGGTTCAGGGGTGCTCTGCCTGATCTGTTCAGGGAGGGCCATTCAGTGGTGGCGGAGGGCTTCCTGCGCCCCCTGAGCGAAGCCAACACCGCTGCCTTCACTGGCAGCAGCATCGCCAGTGCCAGCAGCAGCAGTGGATTTTCTGGGAGAGGGGCGATGGCATGCTTGAAATCGCAGCCAGCGAAACCGATTTTTGATACAGGTGCTTGATATTCTGCTGTGTCGCCTGTTGTTGCTTTGGTGGCAAATCAAAGGCGACATCAGCAGCAGCTTTCACCATCGCATTCACGGCAGCTGGACGCAGCGGGGAGAAGCCAGGAAGTCTACGGGAGGACCTCTGTTGGACTCCCTTCAGTTCCTCGTCGAATCTACCAATTCTGTATGCGGCAAAGAACGGGCTGAAGCCTTTTTTGGTCGTCCGGAGCCTCCTGGTGTCGGTGTTAGGCCGTCTGTCCTTGCTGTTAATATTGCTGTTGTTACCGCTGTTGCTCTTGGCGTCAGCAGCCCTGTTCGATGTCAGCAGAGGCATATTTGCCATCGAAATTACTCTTAAGACGCGGGAGAACAAAGACTCTGAAAATATTTTAACAGAGCGCTTTCAATAAGACTGAGGCTCAGAGTAAGAGCTGTTTCCGAGGATCAACAAGTAAAGCTCGAGACAGAGAACGAAACGAGTGAACTGAATAAACGTCTGTGATCTGGTCAATATGTACTCGTTTAGAGCCAAATGAGTCCAGAAGAGGAGAGGGGAGGAAAGGCTCAGAAGTCCCCATAGACGGAGAGTCTCTCTAGATGGAATCCCGAAGAGGAATTTCAGGTTGGGGGCAGGGACGAAATCGTCGGAGATTCCCGGCAGAGGAACGAGCGCTAATGGATCAGCCACGTCGACATTTCCCATGCTGCCCGACGTAGTGTTTCGTACCTTTGCTAACAGCGAGTTGGGGCTCCAGGTCGGTGTGCCTCTGTGCTGGGATGGGACCCCGCGTCAGGTGAAATTGGCGGGATGAAGGGAGAGCATCGCTACGTGCGGGATTCCCGAGGCGCCTCTCGTCGGTTTTCAGTTTCGTGCGATTTCGCGACGCCTTGCCCCATTCCCGCCTTTTGTCACCGAATCAAACGGACAGGTTTGCGACTAGCTGTTACCACCTACATTACCGACAGGCGCTAACTCAGTGTTTCGTCAAACTCTTCGCTCGCAATATTATTGCCACGTGACCGTTTTAGAGCTGATTTCGCGAAGCAGGGTATGGGATCCATGGTGGTGACAGGTGGAAAGATACGAGCAGCTAGTTCAGCCCTGACGATGCGCCACCTTGAGATAGCGACATCTCGATTGTCCGGCTCGCCGGGCTTTGCGGGGTTCATGGATAGTATGAAAAGGAATGGATATGCAAGGTCTCCTACAAACTGTCCGCTTTTCTCTCTTGATCCGAGCGGGCACAAGCACACGAAGCTCTCACATATACTCCTCCGCGTCCTCCTCAGTTTTTGAGTCGACTCAAAAACAGATTCCGCGTCCTCCTCTTTTCGCAAGCCATGGCGATCACACGAGTGTTGAACTTCCTCTTCACCGCGCTGGGTGAGTTTCTGCCGTGTCGTCGAGTCAGCAACGTCCACTGATGGCATCGACGCTCATCAGTTTTTTTTCCTTCTTTCCACATCTCAATGCTACTAGCATATCTTCACGCACCCCCTTATTTGCTATAGTCTCCTTCCTGATCTCTCTTTCGCTCTTTTCTTTTTCCGTCTCTATCACTTCCTTCACCCGAATCTGTAGTTTTCGCAACAGTAACCTCTACATTCGCCGTCACTCCCACTGATGCCACGTCTGTTGCTGTCACGGCCGTGTATGGCGACGGCGACGACATGGTGAGAAGCATCATGATTCAGCCGCGCACGGCCGTGCGAAGCCGCATGCTGAGAGCCGGCGCGAATGGAGACGCAGAAGCCACCGTGGCAGTGGCGGAAACTACAGCGAGCAGGAAGGTCAATGATGCGAGGATTGCGCTTGAGACCACCACCCCCGCCGCCACCACCCCCGCCGTTCACAGCACCACTAGCAGCACCTCCAGCAGCAGCACTGCTGGCAGCAGCACAAGTGGAAAATCCGAGCCGCCGCCGGTGATCACCTCGGTGTTGATGACTAATCTGGCCCGGATGAGCTTTCGCAGGCAGCGTTGCTTAAACGTTGACATGTCAAGGCAGCGGTGGAGCCGCAACGCGTTGGTGTTTTGGAACGTGGATTCGAGCAACGAAAACACGGGCGTCGGCAAGGCGAGAGGCGTCCAGTGTAAGGAGGTCCTGTTCTTCGACAAAAGCAACTGCAAGGGCGCGGCGCGCGATACCATTCCTAACCCGGCCATGGCGCAGGCTGGTGTCGCGTGAGTGGGGTGGGGTGAACGGCGCTGATGAATGGTGCAATGTGGTGCGGTGGGGTGGGGGTGAGGCTACCGCATGGCGCAGGCTGGTGTCGCGTGAGTGGGGTGGGGGTGGTGTGTGTCAGCGATGCCATGTGAGTGGTGGGTGGTCGTGTGTGAGGCAAGGCGAGAGGCGTCCAGTGTAAGGAGGTCCTGTTCTTCGACAAGAGCGGCTGCAAGGGCGCGGCGGCGGATACCATTCGTAACCCTGGCCATGGCGCAGGCTGGTGTCGCGTGAGTGGGGTGGGGGTGGTGTGTGTCAGCGATGCCATGTGAGTGGTGGGTGGTCGTGTGTGAGGCACGACGAGAGGACACGAGCAGCGCATGACTTGGGTAGGGGAGGGGAGGAGGAGGGTAGGGGAGGGGAAGGGGAAAATGTGGAATTGGGCTTCCACTTTCCGTGAGAAGTCAACGTTTCGTGAGCATGATACAGTCTGCTAGGATTCAAGCTCATAGTGGAAAAAGTCAACGTTTCGTATCGGTGTGCTTCCACTTGCCGCGCCCTTCAGGTTCCCAAGCACAAAGATGACAATATCAAGTTGGGCTTCAGCAGCGTCTCTTCTCTGCATTCCCTACGAGCAGCAAAAAGTGAACTCCAGTGGTACGTTCATTGCCCACCTCCAATAGAAAGGTACTCCCTAGAAGTCTGTGGTTCCTAAGTGTGTGATTCCGAAGTGTGTGATTCCGAAGTGTGTGATTCCAACGTCTAGAAGCATTCCCATAACTTTGTATCTTACCCCTTCCTTGTCGCCTCTGCTGCAGGTCCTGTGTGTGAGGCATTGGGTTGTGGGCCTGATAGCACCTGTGTCGTGTTGACCTTTGATTCGACTCAAAAGCATTCCCACACCTTTCTTTCTTGCCCCTTCCTTGTCGCCTCTGCTACATCCTTCCTCTCCGCCTCTGCTGCAGATCCTGCGTGTGCGGCATTGGGTTGTGGGCCTGATGGCACCTGTGTTGTGGATCAGCAATTCAAAGATCTTTACTGCCAGTGGGGTGAGTATGGTGTTTCACCTCTCCCGTTTTCATCGCAACTCATGCATCCGTATATCCCCATGGGGTGAGTTTTGAGACGTCTCAAAACTCATATTTACTGCCAGTGGGGTGAGTATGGTGTTTCACCTCTCCCGTTTTCATCGCAACTCATGCATTCGTATATCCCCATGGGGTGAGCATGCAGTTCCTGGCAGTGGGGTGAGTGAGCATGGCAGTCCTCCTCTTGCAATTTCAACTCACCTCAGCCATTCTTTCAAACCCCATCATGCCACCCAACCAACCCCATCCTCGTGCATTCGTTTTTCTTTACGCGCCACACAAGCTTCAACTCATTGCCAATCCTTTCCTTCTACTAGCATTGCCCTCACATCCCGCACTGCACCCATCCCCACCCCTCAGCCTCGCCCTGTGGCGCCTCCCCCTCTGGAGCCCCAAACCCCCACTAGCATTGCCCTCACATCCCGCACTGCACCCATCCCCACCCCTCAGCCTCGCCCTGTGGCGCCTCCCCCTCTGGAGCCCCAAACCCCCACTAGCATTGCCCTCACATCCCGCACTGCACCCATCCCCACCCCTCAGCCTCGCCCTGTGGCGCCTCCCCCTCTGGAGCCCCAAACCCCCACTAGCATTGCCCTCACATCCCGCACTGCACCCATCCCCACCCCTCAGCCTCGCCCTGTGGCGCCTCCCCCTCTGGAGCCCCAAACCCCCACTAGCATTGCCCTCACATCCCGCACTGCACCCATCCCCACCCCTCAGCCTCGCCCTGTGGCGCCTCCCCCTCTGGAGCCCCAAAACCCCACTAGCATTGCCCTCACATCCCGCACTGCACCCATCCCCACCCCTCAGCCTCACCCTGTGGCGCCTGCCCCTCTGGAGCCACCTGCAAAATTCTGCCTGGGGAAGACGACGGGGCGGTGGAGGGGCCTTACTGCGCGTGCCCTAAAGGCTATGGGATCACCCCGACCAAGTGTGTTAAGGGTGAGACTGATTGATGCATGCTCCCTCGGCCCCTTCCCTCCTCTCATCCCCCCCACTCAGTCCCCTCCCCCACTTTTACGACTGTTTGCTTCGCCTTTCTCGCTCTGCCAAGTTGCCTGAAATGCTGATGCTGGTTTGAGTTGTGGGAATGTGATCTTGTATGTATCAGTATCAGTGTACGAAGGTTTGTATGAATGTTGGGATGCATGCCGATATGTGTGAATGTTGGGATGCATGTCGATATGTATGAATGTTGGGATGCATGACGATATGTATGAATGCGGGGATGCATGACGATATGTATGAATGCGGGGATGCATGACGATATGTATGAATGCGGGGATGCATGACGATATGTATGAACGTGGGAACGTTTTGACGGTAAAGACAAACATCGCACTGAGTCCTTCCTTTGTCCTTCCTTTCTCAGGCCGAGCTTCCACCGTTTCTTCAACCAGCATCACAATCATCGCGAATCGAACAGCCTCGGATTTCAATTCTCGACCCTATACATTCCGCGCCGGGATAAAAAGCTGCATTCGGTTCCCAGCTGCGCTGGTCGGGAAGTTCACGACAATGTATGGTGTCAACAACATTGGCGATGCTCCCAAGTGCACCAATCTCAAACACTACCAAGCCGATAACTGTGTCGGCGACATTGTAAACGAGGAATCCTTGAAGGCCACTCCGAAGCTGTTTGCTTCATATTCACTGTGAGTGGTTGATAGTTTCCCACCCACTGCACAATTGCATGCATCATCTACTTCCCTTTTTGCACCATTTTTCGAAGACCACATTTCCGAGTCAACTTATCCTCTTTGTCCTCCCCTTGTTACCATTAACCAGGGACGAGGATGCCAGTGCTTTTGACCAATCAGTGTTTTGCACTCGTTAGGATGACATGGACGGCTGCACTGACTTTGCTGTCATGTGCAGATGCCTTGAATATTTTTTCCCTTCACTCAATGAGGCCCCTCCCCTATTTTGCCTTAGATATATCCGGTTTGAGGATTGTAGTGGTGTACGTGTTCTGTTTCAAACTCTGAAATTGAAACATCTTTTGAGTTTGCATTGAATGTTGTTTCAACATTGGTCCTGACCTGAGTGGGACACGCACGCCCCTCCCAGCCACTTCACAATTGCACAGATAAAGGCGTCTTGGATACCAGCAGCAAAGCCCAGAAGAACTACCATATCAGAAATTATGTTACTGTACTCGTATTTCTTCAAATGATATGAATCACTTGTTGCTAGAACCTCAACAAGAGGTGGTAAGGTAAGCTTTCTGCCTCCGCTTCTCTCCTCCATCTTATGCATCACCTACGCTTTCCACACTTCTACTCCAGTCGAGACATCCTCGATATTATTTGGATACCTATAAAGAGGTGCCAATCATCATCCTCATCTTGCTGTGTTGTGCTGTTGCTCCTCGGCTCCATCAGATGCACGACCTTGCGAGCTCCACAAATCACACACTTCTCCAGTTGAGACCTCCCCACCTTGCTTCTGCTGCTATTGCTTTTCTCCTCGGATGAACAATGTAGCTGTTGTGGTTCTGCCCTTTGCCGTCGAATTCCCTAGGCTGAAGGGCAGGGGTAAGAACGGAGTGGGAAAGGAAACATTAGTTGGGCAATTACAGAAAACAGAACATCGACTTGAACAAATGTAATCAGAATAACTGGTGAATATATAGATCCGATTGGGTTGGTGGTCTGATTACTTGCTATAGAACAACAGGGAAGAAACGAAGCAAGAACAGAGAAGTTTAGCTTGTGACCAAGCATTGAGCGAAGGTTGCCGATTGCTGTGGTCGTCGAAGTGCACGGCTGCTATGCTGCCTCTCACTCAGCCAGCCTTATCCGCCTCCTCTGCTGCACTCACATCTGCCACCATTAAACTGCTTGATACAAAGAATTGAGATGGAGAAAGTGGGGTTAGTGAGTGGAACAAGTCGCTGGAGTCAGTGTCTAGAATGAGTCACTGAACCAAGTAAATGACATCAAATGAATGGAATCAGCTAGTATGTTCAACGAGTCATGGGAATCGGCGACTGAAATGAGTCACTGAAACAGAGTAACTGGAGTCACTGATTGGAATCACTGAAACAAATACCGTAACTGGAATCAGTGACTGAAAGTAGCCATTGAACCACGTGACTGAAATTCGTGACGCGGATTGAGTCACTGAAACAGGATGCCTCACGAAAAGAGAATCAGTGACTGGAAATGTCACTGAAACTCTCAGTGACTGGAACGAGTCGCTGAAAGAAATCACGGCACTCAGTGACTGAATGTGTCACCCTATCAAGTCACTGGAATCAGTTTTTGGAGCGAGTAACTGCAATAAAGACATGGTGACTGAACCAAAGGAGTCACTTGAAACAGGTCACTTAAAGTCAGTAACTGGAACAAGTCACTGAATGAAGCTACCATAGTGACGAGCCACTGGACTGGATGGAACAAGTCACTGAAACCAGTGACTGGAATGAGTCACTGAAACAAGCCACTGAAATTGTGAGTCGTGGTTGGAATGAGCCACTGAAACAACTGACTAAATCCAAATACTAGACTGTGCTATCGCAACTACTCATGATATTCAGTCACTGGAATGAGTCACTGAAAATAGGTTGTTGTCAGTCGGTGAGTGAACTGGGTCTCTGAAACAAGTCTGGCGCTAAAATTAGTCATTGAAACAAGTCAATGGAATCAGTTGTCAGTAGTACCGGTTAATTGAGTGACAAAAACAAGTAATTGGAATCTCAGTGACTAACTGGAATGAGTCACTAAAGCAAGCTATTGCAATTGGTGACTGGAACGAGTCTCTGAAACACGTTTGGAATCAGTGACTACTGGGATAAGTCAACAAAACAAGTTAATGGAATCACCTATAGCACTCAATGACAAAATGTGTCTCTTTCACAAATCACTGGAATCGGTTATCGGAATGAGTATTTGAATGGGGGTATCTAGATAGTTACTGACTGGACTGTGTCATTAAAACAAGTAACTGGAATTAATGAGCAGAAATCACTGAAATCAGACTAAAAAAACACCATAACTATGGCAATATAGGGCTCGAAGGAGGGAGAGCAGCGAAGACAGTAAAGGTTGGAAGAGAGAGTGGAAGGGAGGCGTTTGGAAGTGTAGCTAGGGAGGATGCGGGAACAGGGAAACAGAACAATGGCGGGGGAATGTAAGGGGGAACAAACGGGACACACAAGAAATAATAGTGCTGAATATGATTTCCAGATGCTCATATTTCTGCAAGATCGTGACTTACAGAGTATCATTCACCACTCTTCAGGACAATAACGTGCCATAATATATCTTACAGGAACTACCAATTAGGTATCTAGCATAATTTAGCACACAGAAACATCTGATATGCTATGCTACTGTTGTCCCTGTGCCAGCAGCGCCTTAAGGCGAGCCATCACAGAAACAACTTGATGTCAACAGAAAGTCATCAGTCAACTTCGCCTTCCCTTCTTTTTTCATAGCTCATGCGGCAACAGCAGCAACAGGCACGCGACTTCTGGTCTTGGCCATTCTGGAATCTTCAAACATCACCTTTATTTGCTGTAGCTTTGACAATCCCTTCTGCGCCAAAGTGCTTTCATCCTCGATATTTTTTTTTGACCTGCAACTGCTTGTAGCACTCGCCTTAGCGACCTTCACGGACGTTCTTAGGAACGCAGGCTTTGGGATCTTCGATGGCATGCTTGAAATTGCAGCCAGCGAAACCGACTTCAGTGACCGTTGCTTTGTCTTCTGCTCTGTCGCCTGTTGTTGCCTGTTTGGCTGATCACAGGCGACTTCAGCAGCAGCTTTCACCAAAGCATTCACAGCAGCTGGACGCAGCGGGGAGAAGCCAGGAAGTCCACGGAAGGACCTCTGTTGGACTCCCTTCTGTTCCTCATCGAATCTACCGATTCTGTACGCGGCAAAGAACGGGCTGAAGCCTTTCTTGGTCGTCCGGAGCCTCCTGGTGTCGGTGTTCGGCCGTCTGTCCTTGCTGTTGATATTGCTGTCGCTACCGCTGTTGCTTGTAACGCCAGCAGCCGAGCTGGAAGCCAGCAGAGACAGATTTGCCATCGAGATGGCTTTTAGGAAGCGGGAGGACGACGATTCAGTGCTTTCGATAAGATTTAGGCTCAGAGTAAGAGCGGATGGGTCTCGAATATCAAGAAGTAAGCTTGCTTGAGCTTGAGAACCAGAACACGAAACAAATGAAATGAATGAACGACTGTGATCTGATCAATATGTGCTCGTTTGGAGCTGAGGGGGTCTAGCAGAGGAGAGGAGAGGGGAGCAGAGGAGAGGAGAGGTCCCCGCAGAGGGAAAGGCTCTCTGCATGGAATCCCGAACCGAACTGTGAATTTTGGGTAGGGCAGGAACGATTTTGACGGAAATTCAGGGCAGAGGAACAAGCGCTATGAGACGAGCCACGTCATCATTGCTCATGCTGCCCGTGGTATAATGTCGTACCTTTGGAGGTGACTGCGAGTTGGGGTGTCAGAGTCGGTGTGCGTTGCTGGCACGCCGCGTTAGACCAGATTGGCGGGATTGATTCGAGGTCATCACTACGTGCGGGATTCCCGAGGCGGCTTTCTCAGGGTTTCCAGTTTTGTGCGATTTCGTGGCGTCTCGCCCCCATACCTGCTTTTCACTTCCGTCTCTAACGGACACTATTGCGACCAGCGGTTACCACCCGACCAGTAATATTTTGCGAATATTCTCGTCAACAGCTCGCAAGGCAGAGTGTGTCGCAAAACCGAAAATGCTTTCGCGAATTTGAGCTCAAGTGAACATAAGAGTGGCAGCTTGTCTAGGGATCGACGAGGAGAAGAAGAGAAGGATTCGACTTGTACTCCCTATAGCAAGGAACTTGTATAACGATGTCAAGAAAAGTGTGGTGCCGATATATTTTTACAAAATAGAACTCCTGTAACCAACTTTTTCTTGCATGGAGCTTGCATAAACCTTTTCAGCCCAATAGCTTCAATAGCAACTGCCATAATTAAGGCTAACGAAATAATTAAATGGAATAAAATAAGGTACATGTGATTTAGCTAGCAAAGATGTGCACGAAATTGCATTTACGTAACATGAATTACTCATCTGAAACATCCTCCACAAACATTGGTCGATGATTTGGATTCCTCTCCAAAGGAGGCAATCCATGATCCATCGTCCTCATCTTCACCCTCCTCTTCCTCTCCCACACCCTCTTCTTTCATCTGCCCATCTCCTCTTGTTCTTTGCCTTGCCTCCTCTGGCCCCTCCCCTGCGCCACCTTGGGAACTCCGCAAAGCCTGTCCTTCCCCTCCAAGCGAGCTGTGCTCTGCACCTCGCTCTTGCGGCTGCTGTGGGCTTTGCTCCAGTGGGGCCGCTGTTGATGCTCCGGCTCTTTCTTTGACCACTGCTTCTGCAACTGCCTCTGGTGAAAGTGATGGAAAAGTGGGGGTAAGTGGTTGGGTTCTCACTGAACCAGCCCCGTTGCAAATACAGAGTACGCGAGAATACGCATGCAAGAAGCCAAAACGCAGCAAGGAAAAACAGGGAGACGAGGTAACGACAGCTCTGTTTGAACCACTCATTGGAGGCTGCAAGTTCAGTAGCCTTTATGCTGCCTAAGGAACACCTCTATACGAACCACTGATTGGAGGCTACGAGTTCTTTAATGTGGTGGTCAAACAAGACAGCCGTTATGC